GCGGGCGTTCGGCCCGGAGGCTCGCTGGAAGGCTGTTCTCCCGTCTCCGTCGCCTCGTCGCCAGTGAAGGACACGCCGCTGGGGCTCCGGCCTCGGGTTCATTGAGAAAAAGAAGCAGCCCTGCGCGCGAGCGGCCAGGAAGGCAGGTCGCTGCCAGCCCCCAAACCTTTACCGGAGTGTTTTCGGCAGGGGCTTGGCTTGGGGCTTTCTTTTGCTTTTAGCCTCTTCATGGCTCGGAAGTTGGGCTGAAACGCGTCGGGAAGCAGGAGGAAAGTTTGCGGCCAGGCTGGATTTCTTTCCTCTCGCTGGAGAGAGAGCGTGCAGGGGCGAAAGAGAGGAGTTGGTGGAAAGCTGCGATCACGGTGAGGCACGTTGGGCTCGCGCCCGCCTGGCCGGCAACATGGAGTGGGTGCCGCTGCCCCGGGAGTGGGCGCCGCGTCTCCTTGGGTGCCCTCTTCATTATCCCGCGTACGTGCCCCACGGGGGTCCCAGGTAGCTAGCTGCCCGCGGGCCCGCCTCACCTTCGGCGCGGCCTACCGCGGCCGGGGGGCCGTGGCACCCACCGCGCGAGGTGCGTGTCCCCCCGACTGCCCTGGCCTGCCGACCCTGCGCGCCCGCGCTTTGGGGATTTGGGGACGACGGACAGTTCGCCCCGAGTCAGCGCCTGGCCCTGCGAGGGTCTCGAGCTGGGCGCCGAGAGCAGGCAGAGGGGGAAAGTGCTCGAGGCTGCCCCGTCGCCAGGATCGCGAACCTGTGACTCCTTTGGCAGGCAAACCCTAGGCCGGGTCGTCCCCAGGCGGGGACACCCGCGGGCCGAGGGGGCCCGGAGTCGGAGCGGCTCCCAGCCGGGCGCGGGGTCTGGGCGCCGGGAGCTGTAGTAGGTTCTGGGGCATGCTTTTTTTTTCTCTCTCGTATGTGGGGGTGGGGGCGACGCTCGAATGGACCCAGCACCGGAAAAAAGTCATTAGTGGTATCGATCATTTACTATGAGCTGAAAATGGCTTTCAAAAGAGGCTGTATTTTGATTCCCTTTGCTGGATTGGCTTCTCTGCCTTTTTGTTATTGCTTCTTCCGTTTTGTGTGTGGGTTTTTTTTTTTTCCAATTTCAGGATCTTTATGTGTTTAAGACAAAGTGTTTTCTTTGTAAATTTGCCCCACCCTAGTGCCAAACTTGTTTCTCCCCCCCCCCCCTAATCCATAGTCCGATCACACACTGTTCTTAAAGGGATTTCAAAGCACTTTCGGGCAGGGGGGGGGGCGGGGTGGAGGGGACTGGGAGTTCTCAAAGTGGCGGCGGGGGCCAGCAAAGAAGAAAGCGAAGCCGGCAGCCAAGGATGGCAGAAATGTGTGTGTGTGTGTGTGTGTGTGTGTGTGTGTGTGTGTGTGTGTGTGTGTGTGTTTTCCCAAAGATGCTACTTTCCTCTACAAAAAAAATAGGTGCCGGAAGTTTCCAGCTCATAGATCTTAATCCTGCATGCCCGGCTTGTGCAATGGCGCCTTGGAAGGTGCCCTTATTTAAAAAAAAAATTAAGAAAGATGTGTATGTGTTTTAGATTTTACTTTCTCTGATCCTAAAAGAAGATAAGCTGTGCAAATGGTAGCATGAACTCGAGGCAGGGCAGCGTGCGGTCACCGTGGGTGCGAGGTCAAGTATTTTACGGCACGGTGGCTTCCTCGCCGCGTCTGTGCTGCAGTGCCCTGCGGTGGGCAGCATGGGCCCGCACGGGAGTGGAGCCGTTCTGGCGGCTGGAAGGCGCTTGGTTCTACGTTGAGAGAAAGGGCGTGAGGAATTGGCCGTGGGGAGAGGGTGCTCCAGTGTTTCGTGACAAGTACCTATTGGAGGCGCCTGTACCCATTCCCCTTCCCCTGCCACTGTCGGTCTTGAAACCGGGGGAGTGGAGGGCGCCTGGTTCCTGGGCAACCGCTGTCCGCTCGGAAAACTCCCTTGGGGTGCTGGCTGGGTCCCACCTGCTGGGGAAGGAGGTGGGGAGCTGATAGAACTGATAACGGAGGGAAAGCTAAGAGCAACGTTGGCTCCTCTTTCCATTGGAAGTGAGGAGGAGATCCGGTTTCTAGCTCTGCCTTGTTTTCGAATTGGGAGGCGTCTGTAAGGTGCCTTGTTAACTATGACTCTGTATTTTAAAGTAGTGATTGGATAAAGTTCTGCTTTTACCCATTTGCCACTTTGTTTAAATTTGGAAAGGGGTACAAAAAGATCGTTGGGAAATTTACAGAGGATTATTGTTGAAGATATTCAACACAGTGCTAAAGTCGAGTTGTGACAATTGAATTTTTAAAGCACTTGTTTTTTCCTGCTGCAGCAGTTGATTTATGTTCTCAACTCTGAAGTTTGGGGAAACTGGCAAATTATTTAAGAGTGGCATAATTCATATGTAAACAGAGAAAGGAACATCATTCACTACTGAATCTGAGGTCTTTTTCCTAGGCTGTGGGGTGTAAAATACTTGATCAATCATTATCAAGTTGTTGGGTCATTCTGAGTAAGTTCCTGTCTTCTTGTTTGTTGTGTATCCTTTGATTTAATGTGATCCTGGCACCAACTGGTATTCTTAAATTGTATACACTTGGACTGCTATGTAGCTAGTGCTTGTCGTGCAATTTATAACTTCCTTGGAGGAAAAAATAATTACTTTTTGCACGTCAAATCTGCTCTACACAGCTACTAAGTTGAAGGATACCATATAAATAATAGTATTTGATGTCAAGGTGGCTTAGAGTAAGAACCATGAGGGAACTTTCAAAATTGCATTTATTGATGTTTAAGACATAAGTGACAATGACCAATTTAACTCTGTTTCAAACTTTTGAAAATATTGATGGCAATGTGTTAAAAATTTAACATTGCTTTCTTGCAAGTTTTTCATCAAATCTAGCAGGCTTTTATGTTTGTTTGAATAAGGAGTTGCTATTTATATGATTGAAGTCCTAGTGGCACGGGGGCTAAAGTGCATGACTGCTAACTGAAAGGTCAGTGTCTCAACACCATCAGTTGCTTTGCAGGGGGTGGTGGGAATGTGACAGGCTGCTTCCGGAAAGATTTACAGCCTTGGAAACCCTATGGGGCAGTTCTACCCTATGGACACGAGTTTTGTTTTGTGTTTTATTTATGTGATTGAAACAAAGATCAGCTTTATGCCATTGCACATCATGGGATTAAAGAATTGTCAGCACCCAGAAATAATTGTTAGATTTTGGTGCTTCTGTTGATCATATGGCTATTCTTATAGCTTCCCACCCAGACTCCATTTCATATCCTATGTCTCTGAGGGAAGTGGTATAGTGAAGAGTCAGTTTGTGGGTGGAGAGTAAAAGATCTTGGAGTGTAAACCTATTCCCTTTCCTCTTGGTTTTCACAGGAGTTCAGATGTGTTCTAAGCCTGCTGGAGTGACTACACTTCCAAACCCTGATGGAGGCCAGAGTTCAGAGTGGCAGTGGGTCACAGCCTTTGCTGCAGGCAGCCCATGATGGTGGCAGGCAGCTCAGGGAGCCTGACCCCAGAGATGCCCTCACGCAGCAGGTGCATGTGTTGTCTCTGGATCAGATCAGAGCCATCCGAAACACCAATGAGTACACGGAGGGGCCTACTGTGGTCCCAAGACCCGGGCTCAAACTTGCTCCTCGATCTTCCGCCCAGCACAAACATGAGCGCCTTCATGGTCTGCCTGAGCACCGCCAGCCTGCCAGGCTGCAGCACCTGCAAGTCCACGCTTCTGCAAGGGCCTCTCTGACCAGATCCATCAGCACGGTCAGCTCAGGGTCGAGGAGCAGTGCGAGGACGAGTACCAGCAGCAATTCCTCTGAACAAAGACTGTTAGGATCATCTTTTTCCTCAGGGCCCATTGCTGATGGAATAATCCGGGTGCAGCCTAAATCTGAGCTCAAGCCAGGTGAGCTTAAGCCACTGAACAAGGAAGATTTGGGCTTGCACGCCTACAGATGTGAGGACTGTGGCAAGTGCAAGTGTAAGGAGTGCACCTACCCGAGGCCTCTGCCTTCAGACTGGATCTGTGACAAGCAGTGCCTTTGCTCAGCCCAGAACGTGATTGACTATGGGACTTGTGTATGCTGTGTGAAAGGTCTCTTCTATCACTGTTCTAATGATGATGAGGACAACTGTGCTGACAACCCATGTTCTTGCAGCCAGTCTCACTGTTGTACACGGTGGTCAGCAATGGGTATCATGTCCCTGTTTTTGCCTTGCTTATGGTGTTATCTTCCAGCCAAGGGTTGCCTTAAATTGTGCCAGGGATGTTATGACCGTGTTAACAGGCCTGGTTGCCGTTGTAAAAACTCAAACACAGTTTGCTGCAAAGTTCCCACTGTCCCACCAAGGAACTTTGAAAAACCAACATAGCATCATTAACCAGGAATACTGCAGTAATAAGGATTGTTCTTTTTTCCTTTTTTTTTTTTTCTTTTTAACACACATGCAGCCAACTAAAAAGTTATTATCTTGGCACTGTTACTAGAGGTTGTGATATTCTTTGCTGTTTTCAGTGAAATGCTTTGTGCGTGTATGGATGTTTGTGTGTGCATGTGTGTGCGCGCGTATGCGTGTGCCAGTGTGTGTGTGTGTGCCAGTATGCCATTGCGTGTGCTGTTCTAACTGATACACTTATTAGAACTCAGCTAATGGAGCTCAAAATACAGAAACTGGTGGTACCCACATATTGCATAAGCTAAAGCAACACAGACACTCCTAGGCAATTATTTTTTGTGAATAGTACTTGCAAAATTAGTAAATTAGCAGATGATCTTTTTTCCATTGTTTTCTCCAGAGATAATGTGCTATATTTTCATATCTACAATAATATTTGCAACTGTGAAAAACAAGTTGTGCCATACTACGTGGCACAGTCACAAAATATTATACTAATATGTTGTACATTCGGAAGAATGTGAATCAATCAGTATGGTTTTAGATTGTATTTTGCCTTACAGAAAAAAGCCTTTATTGTGACTCTGATTTCCCGTTGGACTTCATGTATTGTACAGTTACAGTAAAATTCAACCTTTATTTTCTAATTTTTTCAACATATTGTTTAGTGTAAAGAATATTTATTTGAAGTTTTATTATTTTATAAAAAAAAGAATATTTATTTTAAAGGGCATCTTACAAATTTTGCCCCTTTTATGAGGATGTGATAGTTGCTGCAAATGAGGGGTTACAGATGCATATGTTCAATATAAAATAGAAAATATATTAACGTTTGAAATTAAACTGAGGTGTCTTGTCTTATTTTACTTTATCTCTCAAGTGAAAAAAAAAAAGTTTAATGTTAGTCACCCTTTGAATGAACTTGCTTCACTTAATCCAAAAGATTATTTTATGATTTAACGCTTTAAAGTAATATGTTTACGTGATTTTTTTTTTGTTTTTGCCCCAAAGAGAATTCTAACAAACAATACTGACCATTATAATCAATTGTATTAATTGCATGAGAGCTTATTTTGCCATGGTTTAAAAAATATCATTGTTACTGTTCTTCCCTGATTTTTCAGATTTGCTAATTTACCTTTGTTTTCCAGGTTTAAAAATAGCAAGTAAAAAGTCTTACACTGATTTAAGAGGCTTTCCCAAGAGAGTAACAATTTGTTTTATGCACAATCCTGAGAATAAATGTCAACACCACAGAAATAAATTAGATGAACAAACTTCCATTGAAATATCGCTGTATCGGTTCTTGTGTTAGCAATGAAGTACATAAAAAAAATTTTAGTAGAGGCAAAACTTTTCTAATTTATTTGCTTTTCAACTCAGGTTCATTACAATAGTATTAAGTACCTTATGTTAAGAAGGGCATGAAAAATAATGTGACTTGTTTTGATTCAAGTATTGGTAGCATGAAAATTCATTTTACATTTGCCTAATAATTCAAGCCAAACTTGGTCAACTTAAGGTGTTTTCAATAAAATTAGCTATAAAAATTGTTTAACTGTAGGAAAAGGACACTGTGTAGCAATAAGCCAATGTGTTTGTGGTTGTCTTCCGGGAACAAACATGATAAGCTGGGACAAGCCCACCTTGACAAATAGACTTCCTGATTTGTAATATGTCAGATCAGAGCCACTGTGATTAGTCACTATAGCTGATGATTTTTTTATTCTCCCCTCTAAAAACTAGGAGCCCTCTTGGTAGCTCAGTGGGCTATGAGTTGGGCAGGTTAACATCAAGGTTAGCAGTTTGAAATTACCAGCCACTCCTTTGGAGAAAGATGAGCTTTTCAATTTCCTTGAAGAATTACAGCCTGGGAAACCCACAGGGGCAGATCTGCTATGAGTTGCAATGTACTTGATAGCAGTGAGGAGTGAAAACCTGCCCGCAATCACCAGGAATATAGGAAATTATATCCCTGTCATTGTTTAATATCCTGTTTCCTGTTCTGAAGTTCCTATTCTTAGGTTAAGAGGTCTTAGTATATAGGTTGTCTAATGTTTGTTTAATTTTCTATAAATAATTTTTCAAGGAACTACGTAGCTTTCTAAATGAACTATAAACGTTCTAAATGTAAGATGCGTTCAAGTGCACCTTTAGTTTCCTCTGAATTTCCTCAAAGAAACAAGATTCAATTGATCTGGAAATTATTTACTCCTTCAATTTTTGAGGTGTTGAATATTGCTGTTCTAAACCTTAAATTTATTACAGATAGTCTTAAGAAATTAGAGTACTGAAAAGTAGCGTGAAGTTTCTTTGTCTCCATAATTTTCAAGATTGGTAAGGTACAAAAATTTCTGCTAATTTGCTTTGTTTATTAAAAAAACTGATAGTGGAGTTTATACATTATGAGCATTATTTTTATTTTATTTACTCCCCTCCTTCCCCCCCACACAGGGGCACTTTTCAAATAATCTTCTGTAGACAAATCCCATCAGATGCAATTGGAGTCTTTTAAATTGAGCACAAATCCATTCTAGGATATAAGACTTGCTTTCTAATTTAGCTTTTTTTTTCAATGTACACATGTAAATCATTTACTAGTTTGAAAGTAGAACAGAGATAACCAACTGAAGTTAAGATAGCAGTTGGTGTTAGAGTACATAGTTAATGCTGCTGAAAATAGATTTTAAAATAAGAAAATTGGATTCTATGAAATTCCAAGAAGCCTATTACACACTGACTTTATAAACCAATTTTAAAGTATGCCTTCTAAGAATATGCAAAATCTAGTATAAATCTAAGCAGATTGAAAACAGCCAGTGCTCTCTTACTCAGAATTAAAAGTGTTAAATTGCCCAATAAGTAAATTAAATACATGTGCTTATTGATCTGTAGTGAACAATTTAACATGTTTTCAACACATCAAAGGTTCTGCTTTTAGGTATGGCTGATACTCTCCCAGCCCTACAACATTTTCTGTCACAAAGCCCCTTCAAATTTGTAATCTCTGGCAGGGATGGGAGTACCCAGTAAGCAAGATAAGCACAAACTTACTTGTGCTTTTGTGCTAATCTGCAGTGTACAGTTTGATATGTGTCTCCATTGCAAGTGCTTACTTATGTTACTAGGACCAATGTGAAATTGTTCACTACAGAGTAATAATGAAGCCCAGGTAAGCCCAGGTAATTTCCCAGTAACTTGCTTACTGGGAAATTCACCCCGAGTTAAAGAAGAAAGGTTTTTAAAATAGTGCTTGCGCATTATCCTAGGAACTGAGATGGGTTTGTAATGTAAGATTCATGAAGTCTGTTGTACATAAAATCAGTTCATAATCCAATAGTTTTTTTGTGGGTGTTGGTATGTTAAAAAAGATAGTATACAGCCAAGATGTTGGTTGAAGACTGCTAATCAGGAGAGATTCAATGTTTTTCTAGTTTCTTGCATTTGTTTTCCTTAGAAACCTGTATATTATCCCTTATTTGAGAATGGGTGAAGAGTGACTGTCAACTTGGCTGTTGTTACTTAAAACACGCATTGGTGAACTTAGAGGAGGAGATTGTAAGTGCCTGCCAAATTTTACCATGTTGAAGCATGTTCTGAGGTGGCACACAAGAAAGCTAAAAGCTAGTAAAGTACTCACAGTGAAACCGTTTGCAAAACTTTTCTCCAATATACTTTTTTCTCTCCAGAAGTACTTAAGGTTATGTCATTAAAAAAAAAGAATTTTCTCTTTGCATAGTGTCATGAGATACCTGATAGTTGATGAGTTTGAGGCAATCTGTTTTACAGGACGGTTTTTGAAGGTTTAGTGAATATAGAATTACAAATTCAATTGCATCCACAATTGGCCTTTTGCCCTCCTCCCCTCCTATGAATAAGAATGAGGCATAGGTGAAAATGTCAACTGAAAACTGATTGCACTATGTAGATCAAAAACAAGCTTACTTAAGAATATTGTACCATTTAAGTAAAGAAATTTTTAAAAGAGGGTATTGGCTAGTTAAGTAAATGTTGGATTTGTGTATTTTATTTTGGCTTGCTGTGTACATTAAGGCAACACCATCCAAACCAAAGTCATTGCCATCAAGTCATAGCAACCCTACAGCACAGAACAGAACTGCCCCTGTATAACGCTACAGGAGTAGGAAAGCACCTGTTTCTCCCACAGAGCAGATGGTGATTTTGAACTGCTAACCCTGCAGGTAGCAGTTCAATCAGTAAGCACTACACCACCAGTGCTCCTACGTTAAGGCAAAAGGGCAAAATTCCAATTAACTTCAGTTTTAATTTAAAAAATTCTCTCACTTAGCTGTGACATCCTAAGGATGAATCACCACTCAGTGAAGACCAGAGCAGAATTTTAATATAAGGTGTACCTGATTTCACCCCACCTTGATGAAGTGGAATGTTCACAGGAATTAGAGATAGGTGTTGCGTCCCGGCCTGCGGGACGCAGGAGCAAGGCCCTGCGGGGAAAGACGAACCTGGATGGAGAAAAAGACACGGAGATGTAGAGCAAGACAAAACTGATCAAACTCATTTATTTGGGCAAAGCTGGGGTATAAAAAAGGGGGAACTGGGAGGTGCATATTTTAATAAGGTGTGCGACACAGCATCCAATCCAACAGGTACATTAATGAAGCATAAGAACGTTAACCAATCAGCTGTAGGTAAAAGGGCGAGCGCTAGTTCTCAAAAACGTCCTGCATGCAGATTAAGGTCCATCAGGTGTAAAGCAAAGTCCATCTTAGTCCAATGAGCGCCTGGCATTATTAACCAATGGGTGAAAAGGTCAACTTTACAACTGCCCGTGCTACAGAGCAGTAGCTAGGAAAGTGGAGGCAGGAATTTAGGCAGGGCCCCACAGGTTTTGCAAATGAAAGACTAGGAAGCAGCCAAGTTCGGCTCAGGCTGAGGCTAAGGCCTTAATGGCCACCGGCTCCCAACAGATAGGATAGCATTTTTCAAAACAGCCATTGAAAAGGGAATACCAGTGATAATGTCACACTTTTAGTCAAAATTGAAATACTCACTTAACCTGGTAATTGGTTAAAGAAAGAAAGGATAATTTATTAAAAGCTACTGTAATGAAGCCTGTGCCCTTGACCCCTGCCTTGGCTAGATATGTGCTTCAAAATATCTT